GGGCGCCCCCCCACCCCGCCGCAGCCGCCCCCCTGGCTCTCAAAGCGTGTGTGTTGGGGGGAGGGCGTGTGCAGAGATTAACGCGTGGCGGCCCGCGCGGCGTTGGTGGGGACCCGCCGAAGCCCGCGTGCCGGCGTGGAGCCTTCTTCCCGGACCTTCCTCGGCTTCATCAAATTCCTGGAGTTTCTGACATATTACCCAGCTCCCCACCCCCGGCCAACACAGAACCGCCCTCTTGCAATTTAGAGATGAAGGCAGGTACCAGAACCTACAACGGTGATTGAAAACGTTGAACACAGACGTGCATGGGTAATAGGCTCAAAGGCCCGATTTTCATTGCCAAATGTCCCAAGCGGGGAAGAGCAATCAGAAGGCGAGTCTTGCTTTTGGGGAGCGCGTCTAGACGCCAGGCTGTTTGATTAAGCACTACCTGGCCCGAGGTGGGGCGCCGGAAGGCGGTGAGACTGACACACCGGGCAAGATCAGGTTTGAAATGCAAACCGCCGCCACTTGGCCCCAATTAGAGGCCAAACCTTTTATGTAAACAAGGAATAATTAGCTTTGGTAATAGAAGCGTAAACAGAATCATCATCCATTGATTCGCTAATTGCTCTTCTGTCCCTTGACAATGGCCTGTAGGTCAGACAGACCCAGCATACCTGAAGCCCAGGTAAAGGGGGACCGCACACTAATATGTAGGGAGTCAGTGCCCCCCATCGCCCGCACCCCCCCCATCAGATCCACCTGGCTCTCAGATCCCTTTTCCTTCTGGCTATAAATACAGTTCTTGTAAAAGAAGGGAGGGCCAGGCTCACCAGTTTGGGTGGCAAAACCCCGGGGGGTGGTCGGGAGGGTTCAAGTTGCTGCGGAAAGGGAGTGGTGGCTCCCAGGAGACCAGCTGGGGTCATTAAATTCCAGGACACGGCTCTTACTCAGAGGTGTCCATCTTCAGCCCAGAACTCTCCAGCCCCAAAGTCCCCTTCTTGGGAGCAGTGGCCCCCTCATCCCTCTCCCCTGGTCATGCTTGAGGTCAAGTTGTGTGAATGCCATTCATTTCAGGCACCAGCCGGTTAGACTGGCAGGTTGCAGGAGGGCGGGAAAGTTACCCGGAGGCCGGCTCGCCCTCTAGCCCCTCCACAGTCTGGGCAGATCCAGCGTGCAGGGGTATGGGGGTCAGCAGAATCTTCTCAATGCAATGCCACCAGCATCTCACAGTTTCCTCAGCTCCAGAATTTTCTATACGGGAGGGACCTAGAGGTGGTGATGCTCTCCACCACCCCCCCA